AAAACAAAACAAAACAAAACAAACAAAAAATAAGAAAACAAATAACGTTTGAAGAACGAGCGACGAAACGACTAGTCCAGAGCTGGACCCATTTTTCGCTTTTACGCGTGCAATCCAACTACACAATGATTGTGATCATAGTGATTGTGGTTGTACTGATTTATTTCATTCCCATGCATCTTTGCTCGCCCGCAAACAGAAATATAAGTAGGTCTAGTTCTGGACTACCAAACATTTAGACGACTAAACACCAGACTGGCTCACCTCAATACTTGGTAGCTGGCTGCTGGTTATATCAAGGAGACCAGCCGTCCTACGACCAACTTGACGTCTAGCATTGTTCAGTTCAATCAGAGCTGCTGTAGGGTCAATAATAGACTGTGCGGTCTCTTCTTCACAGGAATATATACACGAGAACATCTCGAGGCTTTGTACGCTGCAGGATAACCATTTCTGGGTATGGAGATGAGGACGCCACGCTAATACTGCTGTGATCTGAAATGACCAAAAAATAAATAAAGTAAGAAATGTGCCTTGCCTAGCCACGGTATGAACACGCATACTCGAACTCAAGCAACTGAAACCCGAGCACTCAAGTCTGTGGTTCTATTTTCGCGATTAAATGGTAGCCATGAACGGAGGCAGGAACAATAGACCTCTTCGCCTTTGGGTAATGTTTTCCCATTTCAGACCACGTGTCATTCCCTTGAGAATAAGATTCTTTGTTTGAACTGTATCTATATTCATGTGTCTTCTCATGTGCAACCGAGCGCAAACCCTAAACAAAGAAATGATACTCTAGGGAATGACGTGGTCTGAAATGGGAAAACATTATGTCAGAGCCGAAGAGTTCTATTGAATCCGGTCTCATCTAATTCACATGAAAAAGAATTCAGTTTCCCAGGGGAATGAATATCTATTGTTGTGCCTCCTGTCATGGCTGCCATCACGTGATAGTGCAAAGACACTATTCAGTTTATAGGACAAACTTTACCTTGAGTACGACAGCATTAGTATCCAGGCTGCCCAGATTCTCCAGTAACACAAACTCAGTTCCTGATATATTGACCTTCATTTCAAACGTCTTAGGTGTCTGGTCTTGAGAATTTTGCAGCTCACACTTTGTAACCACGCCTGATTCAGCCGCCGGTGGGGACTGGTACACGGCAGAGTTTGAATCTCGTGCCTCCTCGTTGTTTTGGTTGCTGTGGTCAACCTTACTGGGTTCTTCTGAGTAAGAGAAGTAGATTGCGGTAAAACGAATAATTCATAAGACATCACTTAATATTTTGTGATATTTCACCATACAGGGCAATAGACCGTTTTCTCAAGGCTGCGTACGCATCCAACTTGACGGCCACAAAACTGAATAACAGAAATTCGTAAAACTGAGAAGGCAATTTTATATTTAAAGAGGAGAAAAATCGATTTTATGAATTGCTATCGAAAAAAAATGTCATAGCAATGCATGATAATACTCGTGTTCTGGTAACGTGGCCCGCCAAGTTCCTTAACTTTGGATGCGCACGCAACCTTGAGAAAACTGTCTATATCGTGAGATTCCACACTCGGTATAACTAAATTCTATAAGTTAGAGTTAAATATCGAGAACGGAGTTAATAAGCCATATAAAGCCCGAGGGCCGTAGGGAGAGGCGAGCAGTCAACCACTACGCCACCCATGCCACCCTATTATTTGAAGTATTTTATATCAAGCGCATCTTACTGTCCTTACCACTTGGGAACATCTTGCCCATGATAAAGTTGTAGGTATCCAGTACGTAGTCGATAATCAACACGATACGGCTGTGGTTGAATAGGAAGGTCAGGAGAGTCTTTTTGGTCGTGTCAAGGTAATGGACTTCAAACTGCAAGGAAATCTCTTCTGTAGAGGAGTCTCTTCGTGTCTTAGGAAGTAAAACCTCTTTGAAGACACATGGGTCGGAATCGTCCATATCTGAAACATGACATGAAATGTTAGGTGGGCGTTGAAAAATGGGATTTGGGGTACGAGGTGTGGGATTTGGGGTACGATGTGTGGGATTTGGGGTACGAGGTGTGGGATTTGGGGTACGAGGTGTGGGATTTGATGTACGAGGTGTGTGATTTGGGGTACGAGGTCTGGGATTCAGTCTACGAGGTGTGGGATTTGGTGTGCGAGGTGTGGGATTTGGGGTACGAGGTGTGGGATTTGGTGTACGAGGTGTGGGATTTGGTGTACGAGGTGTGGGATTTGGTGTACGAGGTGTGGGATTTGGTGTACGAGGTGTGGGATTTGGTGTACGAAGTGTGGGATTTGGTGTACGAGGTGTGGGATTTNTGGGATTTGGTGTACGAGGTGTGGGATTTGGTGTACGAAGTGTGGGATTTGGTGTACGAGGTGTGGGATTTGGTGTACGAGGTGTGGGATTTGGTCTACGAGGTSTGGGATTCAGTCTACGAGGTCTGGGATTTGGTGTACGAGGTCTGGTATTTAGTCTACGAGGTCTGGTATTTAGTCTACGAGGTCTGGGATTTGGTGTAGGAGGTCTGGGATTTAGGTCATTGGGAATGAGAAATACAAAAGACAAGGTGGGAATGGGCATGGGGGAATGGAATTGTTTTTTCATTCTCAAAGAGGGAGGATGGGGAAGAAGAATTAAAGAACAAGGAGGAAGATAAAGCAAAGAAGAAGAAGCAGGAGCAGGAGCAGGAGCAGGAGCAGGAGCAGGAGCAGGAGCAGGAGGAAGAGCATGGTCTTTTGACATCCTTACCTCTTGTGTCCTCAAAGATTACTTCTGCAGAAACCAAATCAATCGTTTTTGACCAATCAGAAAACGTCTCGAATTCAAATTTGGATCTAACGAAGTCAATTCTGGCTAAGGAGGGGAGGGGTGTATCGAGATATTCCTCCGGATGCTCAAACACTTGGACCGGAAGAAGTTCTAGGCTGACATTCACAAGCTCAATGCTCATCTTCAGTGTAGTCCATACTTCTTCAAACTCTGGGGGCTACAAAATGCAAACGAGTTAGACAGGTTTTGATGGACTTCTCTGTAGTCCACACTCTTGGTAATTTAATTTYCCCCCATTTTATACCACGTGTCATTCCCTAGAGTATCATTTCTTTGTTTAAAAGATGTGTATCAGAAGACAAATGAATATGGATACAACTCCAAGAAAGAATCTTATTCTCAAGAGAATGACACATGGTCTGAAATGGGAAAACGTATTGACGTTCCTAATGTATTTTTTAGGAAAATAAAGACGATTTGCTTACACATTTTCACGCAATTTAATGCTCTTATTTTATTTTGCTTCTTTAGAATCGCGGAATTAAATACGAGATTAAATAGGAAAACAGAGGATTAGGTCTATTATCTATTTAATAGTGCCTTTGCAGTTATCGGTCACGTGTCTGTACTAATGAGCAAAATTTTTCATTTATTTTAAATTGGTGATTCTTTTTAGCTACTTGTAAAKAACTRAATGAAAMSATGTGTATCYAGTGTATTACAAAATGTAGTTTTATTACGATCTCAAGAAAGAGGATGTAGAAAGTTTGTTTGCTCACCAGTATATGTCACCCATGGGAATCAAGATGTTCATTCATTTGCTCTTAGTGAATTAATCAGCACGTGATTACTGAGCTACAAAGGGCCAATTACAACTATTTACTTTGTATTTACATCTATTTATAATCAGTGGAAAATAAAATTGAATCGAATTTTGCCAAGGCCCTTACTTACCTCACCCAAAGGGTCCTGCAAGAATGACGAAGGCCTTTCAAACTCTTCAAGTTCTTCCCCGAAGTTCTCACCCAACATACCAAGTATCAAGCCGTACTGGGAATAATCTAAACTGGCATACACTGAAGACAGACGCCCACTACACAAGAAGTCTGCCACTAGAGAAGAAAGGACAAGTATATAAAGCGGTTAATACATGATAATAGGGAGTTGGCATGATGACGTCATTTTACTACCACTACCAAAATGCTTTGTGAATTTTCTTTCTCATTCGAATTGTATTTCCTCATGAGAATAGTAAGACAATTGGTGATGATTAACTGGATAAAGCAGAGTGTACAGCTGAGGGGTTCTGGTAGTTGTAGTTAATGAAGCCATAATACAAGTATATAGAGGTTTTGCACCATCACGTGCCCGCGCCATAATCCAGCTTGGACTGCCTGTGGTTAAATGGCAGAACAATAATATCCATTTTATCTCGGGAATTGACTTCTTTCTCATGTAAAACGATCCTATTGTTCCTGCCATCTAACATCGCTGCCGTTACGTGGTGGTGCAAAACTTCTATAGTGAGTAAAACATTTTTTGTAGTTTTCAGGTGCAACCAAACGACTCAAAATCCCTTGAGATGTGAATAACAATGAAACAGTCGCCATCTTGGTTGATCTAACAAGAGAAGCTAATGAGGAATGCTTTGTTATCGTCAACCAATATGGCGGCTATGACGTAGCATGCTCCCCAAGAACTAAGGAAAAAACTTGGCATACCAGCTTTGCTAAAGGACCAATCAAGGTTGCGTTCGATCTTCAAGTTGAGTCGACATTTTTCTTTCAACAACCTAACACCCTGTAGGAGAATTAAGATCAATTTAGTATGCGTAACTCAAGCATGGGCCTTTATCACGAATTCTGGTTTTCCATTGTAAGCTCGCGGACTCGCTCGCTCGCGATATCAGATGGAAACTTGTGAAACTCGCCATTTTGGATTTGGGAGAGCTGATGGAGTAGCCTTAGCCTGGGTAAGAGGTTAGTTCGTTGCTTACTTGTCTAGTGTAAGTAAACTTTCTTCCGCCATGTTGGACAGTGGCTGGGACCCTGACAGCAGTAAACARATCCATTTCTTCTAGGTCTACCGTCATACAGTCTAACAAACACTTCTGTCGAGCATTGGATTTCGAGACATCTGAAAGTAAACAATGAAGCAAACGAATAAAAAATAGATTGAAAAGAATTCAATTTTTCGGCGCTAGCCTTTGCGTGGTATAAATAATGTTGCATGTGTTGCAGTCGTTAAGAAGTACGGACATTGTTCTCGGATCTCCGTACAAATTTACTCATTTTAAAACAAATTAGATACTTGGTTTGTTTAGTCAGTACGAGCAAAATATGATTTGTGTAAGTTGAYTGAAGCTATTCTCACTGCTGTTTAGAGAGCTGGCTAATGAAATTGATCTGAAATTTCTTAACGCAATCCAACACCATTTATACCACGTGACGGCTAGCACCGAAAAGGACAATTTTAAGACCAAGTCATAGGGATTGAAGCGAATCATGTTGACAGAAGCATTGTTACTGCGCATGAGTAGAGTTATTTGAAGCAAAACGGCTATGGATCATAATGCGCATGAGCAGAATATTATTTGGAGGTAGTTATTTGCATTTATCTCGGCCAATCAAAACGATGAAAAAAATAATTTGAATCATAAGATAAGATGTCCTCTCCTTACCAGAAGAAGATCTCGTTTTAGTGAGTGGGTAAGCAATAGTCCCCGGGGACTCCTCCCATAAGAAGGCATTGTCAACAGTCAGGTCCCCCAGATCAGCTACCAGCATGTGAGGTGATTTRGAGGAACGAGGGATGAGAATGACAGGACTACCAGCTTTGATGTCTAGAGTTATACGAGCACTTCGACCAAACATCCAGGATACCTACACAATGAAAAAAATATAATTTAAAAGGAGTCCCTGAATGGACCGTGTCATTCCCTAGAGCATCATTTGTTTAATGTTAGCGCATGAGAAGACACATGAATATGTGTACGCGTCAAATGAAGAATCTTATTCTCAAGAGAATGACATGTGGTCTGAAATGGGAAAAAAATATTACGCAGAGCCTGCATTACTCCCGGTTTGCGGTTTCACGTAAAACTCATTCTCAGTCTCCACTGACACCAGGAATCCAAACAGTATACACTTATATATTCAACATACCTCGTTACCAGCAGACTCAGCTCTCATTCTACCCAGGACTTCCTGCAGTTGTAGGAAGTGTTGACAGAAGGCTATCAGTTCTGTGATGAACCGTTTAGTGTGCACGTACTGAACTGATGACATGCGCAGTGAGAGGCTCATGTCGTTTTCTCTTTGTAAGTACGGATCGGGGTCATCATACCTATATACATCAAAATTATTTATTTCCAACTTCGTAAAATCCCCATACCCATCCCAAAATCAAGCCATTAAGAAACGATAAGTAAAGGCCAGATACTGACGGTGGTCACTGCCGTTCTAAAGGCCCATTTACACAGGCGATTTTTTCGGCGATTTGTAGCGCGATTTCCACTTCGATTCTTGCAGAATAAAATCGCCGAAAAATCGCACTTAATTCGAACATGTTCAAAATAGTGGCGATCCATCGGCGACGTGAATTTATCAAATCGCCTCAAAATCGCCGGTAGTTTACACGAGCGATTTATGATCGCACGTGAATCGCCGCAAGAATCGCAGTGGAAATCGCGCTGCAAATCGCCTGTGTAAACGGGCGTTAAGTGGCTCTTTTACGTCCCTCTGTCGCAGGGGGAAGTAGTGTGGAGAGACGTGACCGCCATTTTACGTGGTCATCCGCTGAAGCCACGTAGCCATTTGTAGTTGTTATTACAAAGGCAACACCTTGTCTTCAGTTATTTTCCGGTCGGGAATTAAACCACGACCTCCCGCACGAAAGTCTATATGCTCAACCGACTGAGCCTACGTGGCACATTGTCTTGTGTTTTCAAATTTATAATAAAATTATAATAATTTAACCAAAAATCCAGACGCAGTAAAACCATTCTAATTAAGCTAAAAAACCTACTTACTTGAAGTAGTGGAAACTCAAAGCTTCGTCTCCACACGAAGTGAACCTGCACACGGAAAATAATAAGTGAATAATAAAAAAAAAAACAGAAGTAGTTTACCCTACGTACCGTGAGCATGCATCATCCCAACGCTATCTGATTTTCTATTTTCTATATTCTTTATTGGTACGTACATTCATTCATTCATTCATTCATTCCTTCTTTAGTTCCTTCATTCCTTCGTTCGCAAGCTCGCTCGCTCGCTCGCTCGCTCGCTCGTTCGTTCGTTCGTTCGTTCGTTCGTTCGTTCGTTCTCTCTCTCTTAATTCTTTCCCGCACGTGCGATCTTTCCGTTTATTGTTTTGATCACTAAAAACTAAACGCAAAGAGCTCGCGCGCACAAGTTGATGACGCGCGGGAGTAGGGTAAGGCGAAATTTGAACTACTAAAAATAGCCCAACCGGGGATTTACATGGCCCGTGCGTTATCAAGAAGTTTCGCTCTCTCATATATGCTCTCTTATCCTTACTTTTCTCTATACAGAGATCCATGTGGTGACATATCAGTCAGTGAAACACTCGTCAGCTTGCCATCTGCAGTCAAGTGACCCTCCCTCATCTT